GCGGTTGAAAAGAGCCGTGTGCCGCGGGCGCTTGCCGGGCTGCTGGTCCATCTCTAGATGACCGCAGGCCAGTGTCCGAGCGGCGCTGTCACGTGCCGGAGCAACCCCACACTGCCACCTGCTGGCAGAAACAGGCTGTGGCACCGTGCGGGGGCTGTTGTCATTTCCCCAGGCACACTTTCCAAATGGAACTTTACTGGGTTTTAGACAAGACAGTTTCAAAGGTTATCAGTTCAGATTTTCGAAGAACTCAGACAGGCTTGGGTGTGTGTGTATAAAGGGCTCTGTAGTTGTCTTTTTTGCCAGCTGCTGCCAGGTAATCAAGTAATGACCTGTGGGCTGAGGTGATGAGCAATTAGTGCACTGATACTCCTAAATACCTAGGGCATGGGTGCTTTCAATTAATGTAGCTGAGTGAGAATAATCTGGGAGGGGTTTTGGGATGACTGGCTGGGATCCTGGGAGATGCTAGTTGTGCAATTTCAGTTCTGGTTACAGATGTGGCCTAATACACTGGGGCTTTACAGTCCTGCAGGGGTCTGATTAAAATGATTGTTCACCTAGGTCATTAAGAGATCAGATGCAACAAGAGAAGAGGTTATGCAGAGCTTAAGATTGTAGGGCAGGGTTGTCCAGTCCTGGCCCTGGAGGGGTCAGTGTGTTCGCCGGGTGTCCAGTCCTGGCCCTGGAGGGGTCAGTGTGTCTGCCGGGTGTCCAGTCCTGGCCCTGGAGGGGACAGTGTGTCCGCAGCGTGTCCAGTCCTGGTCCTGGAGGAGTCAGGGTGTCTACAGGGTGTCCAGTCCTGGTCTTGGAGGGGTCAGGGTGTCCAGTCCTGGCCCTGGAGGGGTCAGTGTGTCCACAGGGTTTACAGTCCTGGTCCTGGAGGGGACAGTGTGTCCGCAGCGTATCCAGTCCTGGTCCTGGAGGAGTCAGGGTGTCTACAGGGTGTCCAGTCCTGGTCCTGGAGGGGTCAGGGTGTCCAGTCCTGGCCCTGGAAGGCTGTTGTGTCCCCCAGGCCTCTTTAAAGCAGCAGCACCTGAAGACCTGGGAGGAGCTGTTCAGTTGGCCCAATTAAGCTGGTCAATAACCAGCTGCTTTAGGTCATTGAACCTGAGTGGGAATAAAACCCTTGAGATACACTGGCCCTCCAGGAGCAGCTGCTGTAGGAGAAGCGTTTCGTCTGCTGCAAACCTTTTGCTCC